TGAGAGCAGCAATGTGGAAGCTGGTATATGTTAATATATAATACTTGGTTGTACAACTTGAGATGGCCATGAACTAGAAGAATGGCTTCATGAAGGAGACACCATTTAAGCCTACAATTTGGAGCCCAGTAGAATGATCTGAATGGCACCTAGTGCAAGAAAGGCATTCCAAGCCAAGAAAAACAGAGGCCTCAAATATGGAACAAAGCACAGTGCCTCAGTCAAGAGTACAAAGAAAAGCCTGCTTGTAATTAAGAACCTTTCAAGAAAATGCTAACACATTATTTTCCATCAGATCATATGCTATTATTATTCCTAAATGTGTTTTAATATTCAATATTACTATTATGCATATATTATAGGGTATTAAACTAAGACACAGAAGGTCTAGGTGCACTGCCCATGGCCATGTACTTTGTGAGGAAAATGCAGCCCTCCTTCCACTCCACCACCCTTACTGCCCTCGAGGAGTGTGAGGCTGGGCAGGCAGAGTAGGGAGAGATTATGGAAAAGACTTAATCCAGCCAGAAGGAACTTGAGAGAGCGGACGAAGTGATGACAGTCCCGCTTCAGGAGCATTAGTCACACCACAGTGAAGAGCGGAGTGACGAGCCAGGAAAACCCCCTCGGAAATGAGTGAAGTAATCCCTGAGAGAAGTGGTGAAAGACGGACTCGGGTGTTTGCAGTGAGGTTAGACAGAAACAGATACATCAGACAGGACCAAGAAAAAGTGGCCACACTGGTGACTGGGTGGGCGAAGGCAGTAAGGAAAAGAATGAAGTTAAAAGCAAAAGCATCTGTCAAGCAGAGAAAAGCGAACAGCGTGATCTACCACATGGCTGTCAGGCTGAACGCCTTCTCACTGGCCGTGTTCCAGCTTCTCACCCTAGCCTCTCAGCCATTCACACTGTGCAGACCTATGGTGGACTGGAACAGTGGGTCAGGCTCCGAGAAACAGAAATTATAGGGATAACAACAGAAACGTTTACTAAATGGTCATTCTACCTCTGCCAGCCACTGTTCTAAATGCTTTATATTTATTAACTCTGGCTGCAATCACAAATTAGCATTCCTACTTTACAAAGGAGGAAACAAACAAATCCACTCAGCTTAGAAGTGGTGGGACCTGCATTATACCCCACGCAGTCTGACGCCAGAACCCCCCTACTTCATCACTCTGCTATCCTACATTCAAAACCATTTAGCACTTTCCATACCACAGTATAGTCCCAGAAAATCTGTATTACATATGAGTGTCTACAGAACTCAGATCCCTGAATTCTCAAGTTCACCAATGAGAATACATGGGCCATACCAATGTCTGGGAAAAAGGCACCAAGCCCATCAAACAACTGTACATGCTTCCACCTTGTTTTGGCTCTGTGGTTCAGAATCATAGAGGCACATTATACAGTTTGCACAAAGTCATAGAACATTCAAAAGGGTTTTACTAGAAGCAAAATATGGGAGAAACAGGAAAGAAATACACAATAGCAAATTCTAAACATCTAATTCATTGACTTTGCCATCTTGAGACATCAGGTTTCATCCTCTGCAAACAGAATTTTCAATTAGAGGGGCTGTGGTATAGCAGGTAAATCTGGCTCTCTGCGTGTCAGCATCCCATATGAGCACCAGTTCATAACCAGTTGCTCCACTTCTGATCCAGCTACCTGCTAATGCACCTGGGAAAGCAGCAGAGGATTGCCCAAATACTCAGACCCCTGCCATAGACGTAGGAAACCCAAATGGAGTTCCAGGCTCCTGGTTTCAACCTAGCCCAGCCCTGGTCATTGTGGCCATCTACAAGTGAACCAGCATATGGAAGATCTCCCTCTCTCTCTCTCTCTCTCTCTCACTCTCTCTCACTCACTCACTCACTCCCCTCTCCTTCCTTCCCTCCCTCCCTCCCTCCAAGTAACTCTGCCTTTCAAATACAAATAAATAAATCTTTTAAAAAACAAGACTTTTCATCCAGAAACTTCCAGATGAGGGTTTCACTAGAAGCAAAATATGGGAGAAACAGGAAAGATCTTAACCCAACAGGGAGACAGATCAAGCTGATAACAAAGCTCAATCAACAGGGCTGGCACTGTGGCGTAGCAGGTAAAGCTGCTGCCTGTAGTGCCGGCATCCCATATGGGCGCTGGTTTGAGACCCGGATGCTCCACTTCCGATCCAGCTCTCTGGGAAGGCAGTAGAAGATGGCCCAAGTCCTTGGGCTCTTGCACCCGTGTGGGAGACCCAGAAGAAGCTCCTGGCTCCTGGCTTTGGATCAGCACAGCTCCAGCCATTGCGGCCAACTAGAGAGTGAGCCAGTGGATGGAAGACCTCTCTCTCTCTCTGCCTCTCTATAACTATGACTTTCGAATAAATAAATAAATCTTTTTCAAAATAAATAAATAAATAAATAAGCTCATTCGACATGCTTACTGAGCACCAAAATTAACCCCTTGACAACAGCACCTGTACCTGTCCTACCTGTAAGTCAAAATCCAGAAGCAATTAGAGAAGAAACTGACAAATGGGACTACAGGGAAAGAAAAGACCACAGGTGCAACGCCTGTTCCAGGACTGGGTCTGTACATGCACTGTGCCACCACTGCCCTCTCACACCTGCCCCTGGAAGGAAGTCAGTGCTTCCAACCCTCCCCAGGTTCCCCCTCCCCTGGTCCTAGGTGTCCTCCTTCTCAGTATTAGTCTCTACCTCTACTTCTTCTCCCAGACCTAATGTGGCTGCTCCCACAAGTTCAGGCTTAGGACTTCTCATTTCTCCCTAAATTCCTTCCCTTAAGGATGCTAATCACCCAAGTCTGCTGTTCAGACCCCTCTCCTTGACCACAGTCCTATGACTAACTACTAAAGATATTTTTACATGAACGCATTGGAATCACCTGAAATTCACACATCTTACATCAGACTCGCCTTCTTTTTTTTTAAGATTTACTTTATTATTTATTTTGAAAGACAGAGTTACAGAGAGGCAGAGACAGAGAGAGAGGTCTTCCACCCGCCGGTTCACTCCCCAGATGGCCGCAATGGCCGGAGTTGCGCCAATCCAAAACCAGGAGCCAGGAGCTTCTTCTGGGTCTCCCACACGGGTGCAGAGGCCCAAGGACTTGGGCCATCCTCTGCTATCCCAAGCCATAGCAGAGAGCTGGATCGAAAGAGGAGCAACCGGGACTAGAACTGGCGCCCATATGGGATGCCGGTGTTTCAGGCCAGGGCTTTAACCTGCTGCGCCACAGCACCGGCCCCCAGACTGGCCTTCTACTCAAAACTTGACCTCACTACTCCTTCCCTTTGCTCTCACACCCCATGCACACTCTCCCACCAGAAGGCTAAACCCCTCACTCCTGCAGCAGCACGTTCATGCCTCGAATGTGGCCCAGAGCTCCTGGCATTATAATCCCTCTTCCAAATGGGCTGTAAACTCCTTGAGGAGCAGGAATTATCTGTTAGTCAGCTATGCAAATCCAGGTCACAAATGCCTGCCGGAGAAGTGAACAGATTAGCACACACGGACAATCTGTTCCAGCCAAACTGCTCCATTTAGAGTCTCTACCTTCCTCAGCATTTTCACAGTCCTCACTTCCCAAAGGGTTTTCTCTCCCTCTGCTATTGCACACACGGGAAAATCCTATCCACCCTTCACAAGAATCAGCTTAAATTCCACCTGTACCATGAAGTTCTGGCAGGTGGCCCCATGCTAACGTGACCCCCTGCCCAGCAGCCTTGCAATGCCAGTTCAGTGTCACAAAAACCATCATTTTCATACTTACATCACCTGACTCAAAACCAGGCTCTAGCCCAAACTTGTTGTGCTACTCTGGGCAAATTCCCCAAACTTCTTAAGGCTTAGTTTTTTCTGATATGAAATGAGGTAAATAATACCTATCTTAGAGAATCTAGGGGAGGATCGGAGGGAAGTGAGCCATCTATAACACGGCAGATACCCAGGAGACGCTGACTCCCTCTCCCCACGCCCCACCCCCACCATCCTCTCCCACTCACAGCTATCTCCTCAGATTTTAGTAACTGATAAGATCCTTAAGGAGAGGAACCAAATTGCAATTATTTTTCTCCCTTTTAAGCATCTGCCAACGTATTTTAGAGACTAAGTGACAACGGAGCACAATAAAGGAACAGCTACGGTGGATTATGGCAAACAAGTGTAAATGGTGCCAAGACTACAATTTTCAGACAATGTAGCTGTTAGAGCTATCACACAGCACTTCTGGAATTTCATTCATGCCAAAGACTGATCTCAAAAAATGATAGTATGAATAAAGGCAAATTCATTTCTAACGTATACAGTTAACAAGTAATGTTTGGTACACCGAAAGTAGCTTCGGTTAAATGTCACAGCGTTAGAAAGTCCTCCACACTTCATTTGTTCCCCTATACTCTTACCCAAAGTTTTCCTTTCACACATTCTTTGACTTCATATGACAACAGACATCTTGTTATACCACTCGTTAGCTAACTGAAACTAGATTGCAATTTTCATATTTTACACTGGAAAAAAAGTTAAAGGCTAATACTAAGCAAAAACTAACAAGCTCAGATCTAAAATTTGTGATGATGACACACAAAATTGATCAAAATCCCTAATTAAAATGTTTTTTTTTCCTAAGGAACTTTCATTAACAATCAAGACTTCAACATCCTCTCTAAACTTTACTGGACTCTCTTTTTTAACATCTTGATTTATCGTAGCTCTCCTGCTCTGTGTGTTATCTTCATCAAGGATCAGTTCCCATGGCTGAGCTTCCTCTTTCCCTTTCAGCTGCTGCCCCACTTGCATGCGCTAACAGGTTGGAGGAGCTGCAGTGTGCTGGGTGGGAACCTCCACTTCCCAACCCACCCTTCCTCACTGCTCTCCGTCACATTCCTTCTCCCTGCAGACGCTTCTTCAATCATTATCAAACTGAGTGTGCAGCTATGAACTTAATTTGAAAAAGCAATTACTAATGAAGAATGGGTGTCAAAACCTTACCTTTGCAGTAGTTTCATTCTTTCAAATTATTTTTTTCCCTCGTAAGGAGAAGTTCATGGCAGGAATTACAGGTATTCAGTCCTACAAGACAAAATCCACCACAGCAGAGAATATAAACATACACATTGGTATGCAGGAGAAAGCCAAACGACAGAAATTAAGTCCAATGTTATAATCACAATTCAACCACCTATAGAAACAACCTTAGAAAAAATCACAACCTCTTTCAGTTTCAGCCTCCTGTTCTGAAAATTATAGATAATATCCACCATCCCTACCTCAGAAACCTGTTCCAGAGACTTTAAAGTCACGGTATTACAAAAAGCATAATTGTAAACTATGTGGGAATGTACATATGCAAATATGCCCATATACACACATATAAAAACAATAGCAATGCATAGCCTATGGGTGGTTATAAAACAGTTTTATATCATGTATTAAATACTTCACTAGACACAATGCACAGTATATCCAAGGAAATTTGTTTTTAAATTGAAAAGCAGAATCTAGTTTTGTAACATATGTGCACAGGCTAGATTACACTTTTTGAAGCAGGTATCATTCCTCATCTGGATTTATATTTCTGCAGTTAAACTTTTACTTGAAATCACAGTATAGATTCTCCCTTTGTAGTCAGTCAGAACTCAGTGTAAAATGCTACAGGTTTTTTCTTTGTATCTCATGCGAACCATTACTACATTGCAGTTTTCACATAAATCCTAACTATGAAGACTTTAAAGTAAAAACAACCCAGGATAACTTCATGATTTCAGATTTTCTTTTTGATGTTAAAAATACTGCATCCCTAAATCAGCAGATTCATCAATTACTACTCACTTCCAATTTCCTAGACCAAATGTCATCATTTTCTCATTCTCCCAATTAGTTAAAATATTAACAACATGTCTCAACACATATATTCACACACAATTTTCTGAACTGTGTTTTTCAGACTTTTCAAATGTGGCAACTTTTGATCACTAATGAAACTGCTTAGCATGTTTGTTCTTTTCTTTTTGGCTGCTTATGGCTCTCTATCAGATACCTATTATAGTGTGTTTCTGGTAGGTTTTATGCTATTTGTTGTCTGGATGAATTCAAACTGTTTAAATATGCATTTGAAAAATCTTATTTTAACCACAATTTTTAGCTAAATTTTTTGTTCTAAACTTCTTACTCTGTGCAACCTGAATTAGTGCTGAAAAAAATGAATTTAAACAATTGCTCAATATTCTCCAAAAGGTGGACAGCATAAGGAAATACATGTTCATCTGAACTCCACCCATTTTCAGTTTCAACACAGCAAATCTCCTGTTTGTTTCTAGGGCAAATTCAAAAGCATACATATTGGTATTGGTTGTTACTGAAGATAATTTATGCAATCATAAGCCAAAGATGCTAAGTTGACAAAACGAAAACCATCCAAGTAAGCAAACCCGAACACACATGGGACACGCCCTCTCAGTATATAAAGGCTTGTCACTGTCCTTGGTAGCAGGCGCTCCCTGAGCTAACAGCATCACCATGTCTGTCCGATACAGCTCACACAAGCAGTACTCCTCCTCCCGCAGCGGAGGCGGTGGCGGAGGGGGATCATCCCTCAGGATTTCAAGCAGCAAAGGCTCCCTTGGTGGAGGATTTGGCTCAGGGGGGTTCAGTGGCGGCTCTTTCAGCCGTGGGAGCTCTAGCGGTGGTTGCTTTGGAGGCTCATCCGGTGGCTTTGGAGGAGGTTATGGTGGAAGTAGCTTTGGTGGAGGCTATGGAAGCAGCAGCTTTGGTGGGGGCTATGGCGGAGGCAGCTTCGGAGGCGGCAGCTTCGGAGGCGGCAGCTATGGTGGGGGCAGCTTTGGTGGAGGTGGCTTTGGAGGTGGCTTTGGTGGTGGATTTGGAGGAGATGGTGGCCTTCTCTCCGGAAATGAGAAAGTGACCATGCAAAATCTGAATGACCGCCTGGCTTCCTACTTGGACAAGGTTCGGGCTCTGGAAGAATCAAATTATGAGCTGGAGGGTAAAATCAAGGAGTGGTATGAAAAGCATGGCAACTCAAGCCAGCGAGAGCCCCGTGACTACAGCAAGTACTACCAAACCATCGAAGACCTGAAAAATCAGGTAAGGGCGGTTTTAAATCCAACTTTAAATCTATTCACAGCTGTGTGGAGGGATGTTCACTGTGCTTGCCTATGTTACTTTTTTGCTTCCAAAAACTAACCCGGTCTCATAAAAGATAAGCGTTTGTGAAGCTGTGGTCATAGCAATCTTCCTCCAACACATGTGTTGTGTATCCTATAGGATGCAGATTACTGAGAATTTTTTGGGTTTTAATGAGCATAGAGTAAGTCTATAAAGTATGCTAGATCATTTAGAACTGCATGCACTGAAAGAATTACTAGAGGAATCAAAAGAACATATTATTCAGATAGATAACAAACAAGCCATATTCAGCACTAACACAGCAAGAAACATGAATGCTCCAGTATGGGAATGGGATATTGTTTGCCAACAGGGATTGTGGGTACCAGTCCAGAGTATAGTTACTTACAAGTATTTACAACAAGTTAAACAAGCACACGTGTGAATCAGAGCTTAGCTGAAATAACAGAACTCTCAGTATAAAGAGGAGGGCACACGTGTAGGAATACATCTGTATCATTCCACTTAGCTTTCAGAAAGGAATGACACAGAAATAGGAGTATAGAAACGTCAAGAGAACAAATGATTAAAATTTCAGCATGTGGGTAAAGTCTGCACTATTTCATGTTTAAAATTAAAAATTCCCCCCAAGATTTTGCAAGAGAACATAAAAATGCAGTTCATCTATGCCACCGTCTGCATCGGTCTCTGTGCCTCTCCCTCCAGATCCTCACCCTGACAACTGACAACGCCAATATCCTGCTTCAGATTGACAACGCCAGGCTGGCCGCTGATGACTTCAGGATGAAGTAAGCGCTGTGAATGGGCTACAATATCTTCACAGTGGAGGCATCTGTTGTTAACAATGACTTGGGATGCCCATAGTTACTAGCCTTTGCCTCTTTATGAATTCAAAGTAAAACAGCACTAGAGTTTTCTGAGGAATTTTCAGTCTCAATAATAATCTTTTGGCAACTTTAAAAGAAAGAAAATGAGTCTTGAAGTAACTGCTCTGCTTCTTTGCATTAAGCCACTCACATTCCTACATGAATTAGCAGATGATGAATGTTCCCATGACATGAACTCAATTCTCTAACTGCTTTTCAAACAACCTCTGCCCAGGTACACCTCCCGTATATCCAGTGCTTGTACGATGCTTGTTTCAGGTATGAGAACGAGGTTGCCCTGCGCCAGAGCGTGGAGGCCGACATCAACGGGCTGCGCAGGGTGCTGGACGAGCTGACCCTGACCAAGGCCGACCTGGAGATGCAGATCGAGAGCCTGACTGAAGAGCTGGCCTACCTGAAGAAGAACCACGAGGAGGTGATGCAGAAGTTACACTTCCCCCAACCAATGACAGGCTTCCTTGTGGTCATGGTGCGGTCATTAAATCCTTTTGCTCCTCAACTAGGAAATGAAAGACCTTCAGAACGTGTCCACTGGTGATGTAAATGTGGAAATGAATGCTGCCCCAGGTGTGGATCTGACCGAACTTCTGAATAACATGCGAAGCCAATACGAACAACTTGCTGAACAGAACCGCAAAGATGCAGAAGCCTGGTTCAACGAGAAGGTGAGCTAAGACATCACTCACGGTGAAGCTCACTCTGGGAGTGCTGTTGCCATCTCCGAATTTTCTGATCTCTTCCCCCATTTTTCATTCTTTAGAGCAAGGAACTGACCACAGAAATTGATAACAACATCGAACAAATGTCCAGCCACAAATCTGAAATTACTGAATTGAGACGCACTGTCCAAGGTCTGGAAATCGAACTACAGTCCCAACTGGCCCTGGTAGGTTACCTGTCTTGGAATGGTTTTAACTTTATCAAAGTTTCCTGCTCAGGCAGGGTCAGGGGTAAGAGAGCGGAAATAAAACTAGACCACGTTAGTGGAGGCAAAGTCCTGTTCTCCTGAAAGTCGCAACGCTGTCAAAAAACGCAAACTCTGCTCACTCTCCTCCTAGATGAAGTCTTACTAAACGACTGCTAGGCCGCTAACCCGCACCAAATGCCTCTTTTCAGAAACAGTCGCTGGAAGCCTCCTTGGCAGAAACAGAAGGGCGCTACTGCGTGCAGCTCTCACAGATCCAGGGCCAGATTTCCTCTCTGGAGGAACAGCTGCAGCAGATCCGGGCCGAAACCGAGTGCCAGAACGCCGAGTACCAGCAACTCCTCGATATTAAGATCCGACTGGAGAATGAAATCCAAACCTACCGCAGCCTGCTAGAGGGAGAGGGAAGGTATGCCGGGGAAGTGCCCCAGCCGCCTGCACCCAGTATTCCGGAGAGCAAGGCTTCAGAGGCAAACCCGAGGCGGGGTCGGGAGATGAGAGCAAGGGGAGCGGAGGAAGGGGGCAGAGACCAGAAAGGGGCATGGACGAGCAATCTCATTTTCTCACTACTGTGGCTCCAGGGTGACAGTGAGGGTTGTGTGCACAAGAGGTGGACTTTAAAATACACACTTGGCAGAGCTGTATTTTATCAAAACGTGTTCTGCTTATTTCCTGAAACAACAATAACGCTGCCACCGTGGCTCAACGCGAGAGGTAACTCTGCCCCTCTCCCCGTCTAGCTCCGGAGGCGGATCCTACGGCGGCGGGCGCGGCGGCGGAAGTTCCGGCGGCGGCTACGGCGGAAGTTCCGGCGGCGGCGGCTACGGCGGCGGAAGTTCCAGCGGCGGCGGCTACGGCGGCGGAAGTTCCAGCGGCGGTGGCCACGGCGGCGGAAGTTCCGGCGGCGGCCACGGCGGGAGCTACGGAGGCGGCAGCTCCAGCAGTGGTGGCCACGGCGGAAGCTACGGGGGTGGCAGCTCCGGCGGAGGCCAGAGCGGAGGTGGAGGCTTCAAGTCCTCTTCCGGGTCCGCTGGAGAGTCCTCGTCTAAGGGACCAAGGTCAGCAGAAACTAGCTGGGGTAATCAGAATAAGTTTTGACTTTCTGCGACGGTTTT